TGCTCTGCTCCTAGCGCCTTCTTCTTGCCTTCCAGCGCCTGCATGTACATCTTCTCTGCCTCGTCTAGCTTTCCCTGGTCGCTGTAGAGCATCCCCATGCCGTGGAATGCCCACAGCAGTGTCTTTTCGTCCTCCTGTCTACAAGCTCCCTTCTCTGCCCCCTGATTGATCACAGCCCCTTCTATGCTCTTCTCGCACCGCTCTGCATGCGGAAGAAGTCGCGCTTGCGTCTCCCTGTACTTCTTCTCGGTATCCATCGGCACCGCTAGCCCAACAAGCACAACTGCTAGCCATGACAGCGCGGTTCGTTGCCTGTCGTCTTGCATGTGCAGCGCCCACTGGTGCACCACCGGGTGCGTTGAGTGGCCTGTCTGGTCCCCCGCCTCTACCAGAGAGTAGCTCCGGAGCATCCCAATAGCGTTGAAGAACTCCACCTCACTGCGCGCCATCTCTCCAAGCCATGCTGCTGTTCGCTCTGCAGCCACGGCCGACTTCTGCGATGCAGCGGCAAGCAGACCATACCACAGGCTCTTGTTGCCCAGATGCGCCCACAGAAGCAGCAGGTTCGCGGCCGCCTTGTTCCTTGCCTTGACAGCCATGTACGATATCGTCCAAGTCGTCGCCACGCTGCCGTTTGCGTAGCTCCGCAGCGGCATGCGCCTGCCGTCGTGTGGCTCCATCAGCTCCCGCCACTGCTCCCTGTACAGCCGAGTGTAGGTGCTGAAGCTTGTACCTGTCTCACTCATGTACGCAGCAGCCTGCGCCAGGGCCAGCGGCAGCCCGTCGAGCAGTCCCAATAGCTCGTCGCCCTCTTGACCTGTGATGGTGTTAGCGTCGCTATATCGCCTGCTGTCGCTGCAGCTGCGCCCCGAGATACTCACCCACGCCTCTCCCGTACCATGTCTTGAAGATGGCCTGCGCCTGCCCCTTGTCCACCTTCCTCACCTCCCACCGCTCTCCAAGCTGGCCCAAATGCCAAAGACGGGTCGTGATCAGCACCGATCCGTGGTCAGCCTCCGGGACATACTCTCCTATGTCGTACGCCTCCGCGTCCTCTTCGCGCCGTTGATCGTCTCGGTCCACATTGTCCACTATCAGCAGCCAGTCGCTGTTGTCCGCTATGCTCAACCAGCCTAGCACGTCCCTCACCACCACGCCGACGTCGCCGCCCTGGCCAGCGGCGTACAGCCTGCTGGCCTCGGCGATTTGTCCTGCTGGGATACGGCTCGCAAACGCCGCAAAGCTCAGCTTGAGGCTGCTCTCGCTGCTCCCATCTAGCCACAACACCGACGAGAAGCTGTGCTGCTGTCGCCGGGCAAAGTTGGCTGCCAGCTGCGTCTTGCCCATGCCGCCCAGGCCGTAGGCTACCAGCAACCGCCGCTCTTTCGTACCCTCGTGCGGCAAAAGGGCTCGCTCTAGCGCTTGCGTGTCCCTCAGCCGCTCTGTAAACTTCCCCACAGGCACACCCTTGAGGTTGAAGGGGACGCGGTACTTGCAGGCTTCTCCCACTGCTGCGGTTTTCACCACCTCCGCCGCAGGAATAAGTGATAAGATAACTTTCGCACATGCTGCTGCCGTCGCTGCCGCATATGGCTGCCATGCCTTGTTCTTGTGCGAGTCGGCGTAGTCGCAGATGCCTCGCATCACCAGGCACGGGAAGTCGTTCATCAGGCCCGCCGCTTCCATCTCGAAGCACAGCACCCCGCCCAGCTCCTCGCTCAGCCGGTCCCGCGTCGCCCCGTCCTTGATCACCTGGTTGCCAGACGCTATCGTGCCATAGTGGATGGTGACTTCCTCGTCAGCTCTTCGCGCCGTGCGATGTATTACATGGTCCTTGCTGCACCGCTCGCATGTCGCTCCGCCATCGTGATGGTATGTCGCCTCGAACAGAACGTCAGGCCCAGCTTTCTCGCGGCTGAAGTACGGGCGTTGATCAAAGGTCGACAGATGCGTTGCGAGACGATCTCTGCCCTGGTAGTGGTGCGCCCTTAGCTGAGCAACGGCATGGAGCAGTACCTTGGGCGGTGCGTTCAGCGATCCTGTCCGCGTCATTTGTCCGCCTTGTCCCGTCTTGCCAAAGTCATACTGCACCACCCCGCTGTGCTGCCGGACCGGCTGGCTGACCACGACGTCTCCCAGTCGCACGTCCGCCTCCGCGCTGGGGGCTCCGCCGCCAATGCCCACCATCAGCCCGAAGCGGATCGACGTGAAGTTGGACATGGCTTGCCCTGCGTTGAATGCAGCAGCGCCGATGCCCATCTGGCCGGCCGGCAGGCACGCCAGGACGACGTTGTGGCTACCGATGCGGCCCAGCGTGTACTGGGTCGAGCTGACGTCGTCGTGAGGCAGATGCTCCTCATCAAGCATCACCTGCGCCGCTGCCAGCTCGACGGGCAGCGCGCATATCCATACCACCGTGTATGCTGCAGCGCCGAGCCTGCGCCGAGTCATGGGAAACGCGTCGCGCGGGCGGTGGGCGTGGTAGACAGGTCGCCGGGCGCGCTAGACGGACGGACGTGCGCGCTTGGGCTGGAGCGGATCGAGGCAGCATTAGTTGCGCCTGAGGATATGGAAGCATGGAAGCAGCAGTGCGTGAGGGCGTGAGGCATAGCAAGAGCAGCCAGTTATGGTATATCACAGGAGGCTTATCCCCCATGCCCACACAGCCTTGCCAGCGCGCGCCTGTCGCCAGGGCGGACTGAATTGGGGGCGGAAACAGCTGCAGGCTGGTGCATGGGCAGGCAGGTGGGTGCGCTGCACGAATGATGGCTACCCATCCATTGTGGGGCTAGGCAGACCCCAGCCGGACAGGTGGGCTATCCATCATTTACAAAAGCTGCATGAACTACACTGCAGTCAGCCTGAGTTTGCATCAACTACCAGTTACTATCCGATCAAGCTTGCCACATCCTCATTAGAACCGTGCCCACAACCTAGTTTGACCGGTAGATCACGAACAGGAGCCGAAGTGACCAGCTCTTACTTGTAAGATCAATGGTTCTTGTTGATGTTCTTAAGTTGCCTTGTAAGTACGCAGTTCACAAGTCATACGTTCTGCTCAGATTGTGATCTGGAGTGAGACCGAATTCTAAAAGCAGACAGCGTCCACTGGACAATGGTCTTCTGAGCAAGTGGAACTAGAATATTTAACGGTACGCCCTACGTTGGCTTCCTGTGGTTGGCTAGCGTCTAAACATTGGTAGGGCGAAGCGCACCAGCTCTCCTGCTACATGTGAGTCCCTACATCTATCGTGCGAACAAGATGAATTCTTAGGCTTCCAGTTTTCTCACCAGGACTGCCTACCCACAGCGTGAAGCAGAGCGGAAGCAGTTGCTGCGATGTTTCAATGTTCCTCGCATGGTTTACATGGACATGGGCTATCGATGCAACGGATACTTTGGAAGCAGAGAGAGCCACGATAAGGCGGGTCGTTTAGAAGGCTACTGTGCGTTCACACGTGGCGATGATTGTGTTGTGCGCGACTACTGCTGATGTTGTCTGCAGTCACATGGTTTCGATGTCTTGTCAAGATCGCACGTAGCACTCCACAGGCTGGCACTGGATACACCTGGTCCGAGATGACCTTCTTCAGCCGCTGGGAGTCTGGTCACTGCATGATGCTCTGCGTGGATACACCAGACGGCTTCCAAGAGCAATTGGAACAGATCATGGAAAGCGAGCAAGGGGCGCTTGACCTGAACGATCCGTTCGCCTTACACATGCCCCTGATGGACCAGATTATCACTTCTTACGATCAGTCTGTGTGGAATATTCGTGACCTAATCCGTCGGGTGGAAAAGGTATTCCCATGGTGCGTCCTTGCAACTCAGTTCGGTGTGGCTGACCGTATAAAACATAGGAGAGGGAGAACGACTGGGCCATCGATGCAGACTTTTCAGAGTTGCATGAGATTTCTCGACATGCAACCCATTCTACAGAGACGCTTTCTGTAACGACAGAATCGATGAAGGCGATGCGGGAGCGGCACAAAGACTTTCACGAGCGCTCACACTCCACTACCATAGCGAACAATGCCTGCTGGACAATGACGCAACAGCGAATGGACTTCCAGGCGCAGCTCATCCGGAACTTGAAGCTGCGCTCGCGAGCGAACCAAGAAAGGCTCCAGAGTGAGATTACGCTTGTACTATTGTCCCTCCAAGATCGCCAATGGCTGTATGCACGAGATTTTGGTCTGACAGCAGATAGGCCTACAATGTGATCACGCAACGCGATAGCAAGGTCATGGTGGAGATCGGAGCAGCAACCAAAAGCGATAGCGCCGCGATGAAAACGGTAGCAATAGTGACAATGATCTTCTTGCCGGCAACCTTTACTTCAGTTAGTCACAACTGTCCTTGTGGCACTGATTGCACTGACAAGCCTAAGGCGGTCTTCAGTATGAGCTTCTTCGACTTCTCACCTGGCGACGGCACGCAGGCGGATGAGTGGAGGGTCTCGAGTAAGATATGGATATACTGGGTTGTCGCCATTTCACTGACTGGATTGACGCTGTTTGCTTGGCTGTTCTGGAGGCGGAAGAGAGGTCAAATGTTCGCAATTGGTAGATTTCGGGAGCGCCGCGCTCATCGTTTGCAGGGCATGCAGCGCGAGAAAGCGTAGTATAGCGGATAACGGAAGATTGCAAACCATTGATCAAAGAGGCGTCGTCATTCCTTTGTAATTGCTAGTTGAGTAGTTTGTGAGCAGGTGATGCTCCTCATTGTGTACTGTGCTAGGTCTGGAAAAGTATAATGGTTGCTGAAATGTACAGACCCCCTAGACTTGGTTCGCTACTGCGACAGAGTTACGTTATGTAAGAATGAAGGCTTCTAAGTGGCTGTTTCTATCTTGGTTGACAGAATTGACAGTTTGGTACATGTCCTGCAGGGCAACAACGTGGTGAACGGCCACTCACAAGGCTGTCCGCCCTCACGAACCACGGTACGTACCTACTGTACGCATCACTGTACCAAGATCAGGGGGGTCTGCACATTTTTGCAAGCACCGATAAAGCAATGAGCTCATGGGCGAGTCAGGTCTGCACCAGCATATCTGGATGGACTCCCACAGCCCCGTCGTCTTCCAACAAGGCTTCCCCAAAAGCCCCCACACCCACCAATAGCATTCAATCCTCAAGCCCAATCCAACCTGGCATGGTCGACAACTGCGACGCATTCCAATTTGTTAAGGATGGCGATTGCTGTTCTACTATCGTTCAGAAGAACTCTATCAGCCTCTCTCACAATTCTACAAATGGAATCTGTCAGCCTGGACCTTCACTACGTCCTTCTCATAGGCTCCGCGCCTTCCCCTTCTGGGCTAGCACCCACAGCTCCCTCCGTGTAGATAAACACCACGCAGGTAGTACTAATACATTACGATTCTGCTCACTTTCCCCCATTAACAGAATCCTAAAGTTGGCACTAACTGCGGAGGACTATGGCTCGAAGTCTACGTTTGCGTCTCCATTATCGGACATAGTCCTACCACAACCACTCCTCCTCCCAGCACCACCGTAAATCTACTCCCACCAATGGTATCGCAACGCCCTCGCCGGTTCAGAGCGGCATGGCCAGCAACTGCGATGCCCTCCATTTCGTTAAGGACGGCGACTCCTGTGCCAATATCGCACAGCACTATGGCATGAGTTTGTCTCAATTCTACAAGTGGAACCCTGCGGTCGGCTCGAGCTGCGGAGCGCTCTGGTTCAGAACGTACGTCTGCGTTGTCATCATTGGTGTGAACCCTATGACTACCACGACGATGAAGACCTCTGCGGTACTTACGAAAACACAGGCTGGAAATGAGTAGCGACTCCCACGCCCATCCAGGCAGGTATGACGAAGAACTGTAAGAGCTTTCGGTTTGTGAAGGATGGAGATAACTGCGCATCAATTGCTCAGGCGGCAGATATTTCACTTGCCAACTTCTACCGCTAGAGCACAGGAATTGGGTCGAGCTGTAGGCACTGTGGCTTAAAATCTACGTTTGCGTCGCTGTGTTGTAACGGAGATAAAGCTATCCAAGCATCTCTGAGTACTAAACTCCATGAATACTGGATGATGTAGTGAATAATGGCTCATATCACACCTAATTTAGGATGTATAGTAGTAGCATGTAGTATCAACTAGGAAGTTTTACCTGAGTTTCTGTAAGACTCAGATATGTATACACCTATCGAACCTTTCTGTTATAACTTTTGCTAACCCTGTTTTTCGTAAGAAGAAACAGTTACGAGACTCATTGTACGATAGCATTTAATACACTTGTAGAGTATAGCACCTTTTTGCTGAAGCCACCCAGTCAAAGATGTTAGGTTGCAGTAAGAAACACAACCGCATAATCAAGACGACAACCATGATTGCTACAGGTATCCATTCAAAATCCAGTGCGTATCGAGAATATCCTGGACGGTTTACGAACATCTTTATATATGCTTATATGAGCATCACGTCAAGCAATGCTCTCGCTGCAAACCGCGTTTAGATGAAATGATACCGTTTTGCTGCAGACAACGTTAGGCTCTAGAATATTTGGTGCTGTTGAGCTTTCGCAAAACCAAGGACGGCACCGTCTACAGTACTCAAAGTCAACACGGACGCCCCGTTCGTGTATAACTACGAACGTATCATCGAGCCACGGCGCATCTTCTCTGGCAGGACTATTGGTGGCATGTTACAGGTGGGCGGTCGGCACCCATCGAGAAAGGAGATGTCCCGGAGGGGTTTTTCAGTGCGGCAAAAGGATAATAATGCAAAGAGTCAAAGATAGCGCAAGACAAAAACCCCAGAGTCGTCGATATCACGGGCTCAACGAGTGGCAATGACATAGATGCGTACAATCGCTGTATTCTCTTGAAAAAGTGGGCTTGGAAGTACGGAAAGCTGTAGAGCAACTGAATAGCAGCATATATTTCTCGATCGTAACACTCTGCCATCATGCACGCGAGCTGATCGTGACAGGATTAAATCCCAGCTGAGCGATCTCAGGGCAAAGTCTATTAGATTTTCGTCAATCTTTGTGATAGGCGTGCATGAAAACTCTTTTCATAACATGTAACTACGTGGATTAGGTCACATGATATCCTACTGTAGAAGGCACTGCTCGAGTGCAAGCGCACTTACCTCTGAGCTGGGAGATTCTGTACAACAACACAACCGAACAACAACACAGATAGCAATACAATCATTGACCACAGCCTCCAACCGACACTGCTCACGCAGTTACATAACATCATCACAGTTTTGCGAATGACAATTCAATAGCACTTGAGGTGAGCTGCGGGTAGTTCAGATTCTGACTAGAATTGAGTGATAGAATAGAGTTTTGCGCAATGTCCGGATGCGCTGAGATAGCAAAGACTCAGCACCGGGTTGGTAAAAGGGGTCCAGCTAAGGGGCTTCCAGAATTGATGATCCAATGTGTTAGAGCCTCTTGAGGTCGCTCAACGAAGTGAGATTAGAGCACATGGTGATGTCTCAGACAAATAGAGCCGGCTAGATCGACACTCAGCTATGTGTCACTCAAGATCCGGTCGGTCAGAACGTTGGCGCAAGGCAAAAGGATGCGTGTTCTTTTGATAGAAAATCCAACGCTGGTGTTAAGAACTGTAAGCAGAGGATATCAGAGACTGACTACTAATCACCTGCCTTGGCCAATTCGAGTCCCAGCCTGAGGATTCTCTCCATTCGCTCAGCATTAGTGTTGTCAGGCTCGCGGAGGTGTGCACCCTCTTCATCTTCATGTGTAGAGCTGAACCAGCCCGGAGGAAATTATTGTTCTGCCCAGAGTGAAACTCTGATCTGGTAGTCCTCAGGAAGGGGAGGAATCCTGATGCCTGTCACAGATGCTGGAAAAAGGGGTCGTTGTAACACCTGGTTGCCATCTTCATCATCGACTCTCTGATATACCAGCTCGAAAAGCGCATTGAGACAATTGACAAGGCTAGACCAAGGGACTTCATCTAACAGATGCTAAGCGTCGTGTATCGAAGCAATAGTCCTGTAGAAGGCCATGGTAACGTGAACGTATGGCAGTACGTCCTTATTTCCACTAAGGCTGAGAACAGTGTTGAAAGTATCGTTTATAAGCAACACAGCACTCTCGAAACCAGCGTTACGTGGCAGATTGTGGAGAGAGGCTCGAATCTTTCGCGCTGAAGATTCAAACTTCTATAGGTCGGTACGTGCATCCATGGGTCTTTGCATTTGAGAGATGGGGGTCTGCCTCGGATTGCTGTGACTTAACATTGTGACGTGCGTTGTCTCCTGTGACTTCGAATTGTATGCTTGTTCGCTTTTGGCTGCGGCTCACGAGAATAAGACGTAGTGGATTGAGGATTTGCCCATAGCCGAACCATCCAGAGATGTTCACAATCGCGGTGTAGGTTCCATCCCTTTTCCAAGCTTCCTTTACGTGTTGGATATGCGTTGGAAACTTTCTGATGTATGCAGATCGTCGTTTAAAAACCACACTCCGTGTGTTCGCTAGCGGTCCGTTGCAGTGTTTGCCAGCGGTCCGTTGCAGTGTTTGCCAACGGCCCGCTGCACTGATAGTCCAGCTCATTCGGTTAGTTTGGTTTGCTTCCCCAACTCTTCACTGCTATTCCCTTCTACTATATAGTCTCGATCGATTCCAGCCAATAGCTCTCAAGATCAATCCATCACCTCAATCCTTCCACACCGTGTTTGCTTCTTGTGATGGCCGCATGCAGACCAAAACGATGGCGACAGGCTTCGACAGATCCGTCTGAAAGGCTTCCAAGATCCAGACATCCATCTTGAGGATCTCCACGTTTTCGAGCCATGGAAGCGTATCGTGGAAGTCTATTCCAGAACAAAATTGACCGCGCCTTCGTTCTCGTGGGCGTCATTGGACATGCCTCATGGCATAATCTATGGAGAGACCACTGATTATGCGGAAGACGGAGAGGGGCAGCTGGTCTTCGAAATCAAGCAGTGTCATATTGCCCTAGCCAACAAAGAGAACGATTTTGGTATGCTGGCAGAAGGACAAGGTCGAATTCCGCTGGAACCTCGTTATCTCAGGAGGATTGAGGTTTACACAAGGGGTCCTTCGTCAAAGGATCCATTCAACTACAGCTGGCGTTTTTACAATCCCGAGGAGGGATCACTCAAGAAGCACCCATCTATAGAACACCCTATCGTGTGTTTCGAATGCAGCGAGCCGGAAATCATATCAAAAGCGATGCGGAGCTGTATTATATGCCAGCAGCTCTTGGTGCGAGAACTGTGAGCGCCGGCTCCAGGGAACTGATCTGCCTGTTATTGAAGTTACATAAAGTGCAAGAAGACGGGTATAGATTATTCAAGCGTTTCGGACTGACGAAACTGTTCAGCTTTATGGACGGGGCCAGGGTAGCGGCGCTTCAGACTGAAAAGGCGAGTGAGGTGATAGGTCTTTGTTGATAGTGGGACCTGGATATCTAGGTACGTATAGCGCAAAGTGGGACGCACACCCTAGTCAATGCAATATGGAGCAATGCTAGCTGGAGAAGTAAAGACTGCATATGCCTCTGGTACTTGCTGTCTACTCAATGTCCTTCTAAGGTGGACCAACGCGATACGTATGGAGCTGTGAGACGTTTCCTCTGGTGGTCTTCACTGTTTGAGTCGATCTCGTCCCCACGTATTGTCGCTTACTCCAGCCACTGATTTTAATTCGGCTCTTCTCAGGATTGCCATAAGTAGATAACTGTTGCGCATGTATTCACTTCGAAAGAGAGGGCAACAGTGATGGAAATAATGTCCAGGAAGTTCACTTCGGCTGCGCTCTTCTCTGCTCATTCACCTAACCACCCACCACCCAGCCACGTCAGAAAAATAAGGGTAAAGGATAAAGCTCAAGCTGCTCATTTAGATCAATAAAAAGTTGAAAACATACAACAGCGGGTATTCGCTAGTGATCACCCAGCTAACTACTAATCCGCCGGTACGTTGCTTAAATAGGGCTGAGCGAACGTAAAGCCTTGTTGTCAAAGTTCTATGGTTGTATGTGAAATATAAGACGAAAAAAATATGTTATCCTACAACACACCTTTATCCTAGCTCATATAACCATGGCAACATCGTCCGTTTGTACAGGGCCATGAGCAAGCCATGTATCTGCCATACGTCAACCAATTAGTTCCTGTACTAATTCCCGCTACCATCGACGGCTCTGCCATCCAGCTCTAACACATTGTACCGGTTCACAGGGAGTTCCTGAGGTCCTGTTTGCATCATACTATACGTAGGCGGTTTCACATCTGCCGTATGCAACTCTGATTCCTGGGATACATGTGTTGTAGCGCTGCCTGATCCTCGTCTCCGATATAGAAAGAAGCCAGTGGCACCTAGTATGGCAAGACCTCCCACCACACCTACAACTATCCCACCGATTGCGCCGCCTGACAGCTTCGACTCTTCATTTTGTGGCGAAGGTGTAATGGAAGACGTTGGCAACGGTGTAGGGCCCGTAGAGTTCGCGCAGAACTCACTGACCATATTGTTTTCTTTATCCACTGCGACGATTTCGGAAGTCTTCGATCCTGTGTTCGCTTGCCACACGGAGAAGCTCCCAGCTTCTTGATTGACCATTACGTAGGCAGAGCTCAGGAAAAGTCGGCCAAGGACTGGTAGATCTTTGTCATTTTCGGCTTGAAGGGAATTGATTACTACGTTGCGGACCGATGTATTTGTCTGGACTGCGCCATCGGAGGCGATATATGTGTCGGGGACGACTAGTTCGGTGTTGGGAATCTTTACGGAGATGCTGTTAAGAAGGTTGATTGTCAGACCACCGTAGTAACTACATCATGATCGTTAGCTGGCTACCTTTCGAGCGCAGTTGGTATGGCACTTACTGTCACGGTTTGGGGTGCTCCTGCCTGTCGTACCTCACCTCCATGAGAGTGACTGCCACGTCACACTAGCGTTGTTTACAGCTACTCACCTATATATACTGTTCGTAGCTTCACTCAATACAACCTCAGTACAATCTTCAACTTCTTCCTTTGCGTACAATTTTTCCCTGAACTCTGACACTTACACATTATCTGGGTCAAAAAGCATTGTGTAGAAATTGATGCCGAAGCTTCTGCCTTCTGACTTACCATCTGGCGGGGTTCCACCTGCAAGCGACCAGAAGCTTTAGTAGTAGCTCAATAGAAGCGACATCAGCCCTGCGAAACCGGGATTGATGCACGCTTGTATGGCCGCTGATTGCGAACCCATGAAGATACTCATGTCGGTACCATTTGGCCAGTTCAGAAGGATGTCGTTAATCGTTACTAGCATGCCTGTCGAACACCTACTGCCATAGAACAGCGGCGCCGTGAAGTTGGCATTTTGATCCCCGATCAACGATTTGTCCAGGCCGCCGAGAACCAGTGACCCCCGAGTTTGCTTATCCGCAGGACCACCGACTAGTCCCCAAAATATGGAGTATGCTTTTGTACCTATATCGCCAGCGGATGCGAGTGCTCGCAGAAAGGTCGAATTTCTGCCTAAGCCAAGCTGAGATTGGCTGGTGTAGAACCCTTGGGGGAGAACCTGTTGCGGAACCCCGAATCCGAACGAAGACAGTGAGGTATTGCTGCCAAAGCTAAGAGTATCTTCTACCCAGTCCGCTTTGAAGCCATCACCATCCTTTCGATTACCGATCGATTTGTCTGTGGAGGATGCTGATGCGTCGTATGCGCCGCCGCGGAATGTCACGCATGCTCTGGATGATATGGAGTCTGCACAGAACCCATCTGTTCTGTAGATGTAGGTCTCGTTGTAATCGCTATAAATGGTGCTAGTCAGCGATACCGAATCCCCAAGCTCGTCGAGGTTTAGGTACTTTCTGTACCCAAAACTATACAATAGAAATCCTGATTATTTCAGAACCTACGATTTATACTGCAAGACTTACCTGCTAGCAAAGAATGAGATGTTCTGGTTGTTGGAGCCGACAGTCATGGATATCCCTTTTACAAAGGCTCCATTGGGCAAAGATACATTCTGAATAGGCGCGACAACGGGCTGTGGCTGGCACTGGCTCTTCACAAAGGTGACGAAATGTAAGATTCCCAGAAAGAGTGGCAACCGGTCTACCAGCGGACCCATTGCACTGCTCGATGTTGAAAGTTAAGGTTACGACGTAAGGGAGGATTAAAGGGCTAGGGACTGCTGGTGTAGGGGAACGATAAGGCAATAAGGCAATCTCAGGCGATAGCCCCCAAATGAGTGGCGTAGCAGAACCTTTTTTAGCTTCGATAATATACCGCAGTCAGTTTATACCCTGCTACATCGCAATCACCAGGGGTTAGCATCAACCACATGCTGTATTACATGCTGATTTGATGCTCTTGAACTGTGCCGCAATGCCACATCGCTGGGCTGCAAGCTGCGACGAACACTTCATTTGTTCGTTGTAAGAGACGCCCTTCGCGTCCCCTTCGAGAAGGGCGTTAGCCGCGCGACCCAGTGGCACTTTCACCTCCTGATAACCAGTACTTCCTCTAGACACCCTGTCACCTGCGCACGTGTGCGCGAGAGAAATACAGAGCCTTCACGACATCCCGTTCGAACACGTTTCCGGAACGAGTTGTCCCATGTTCAATTCGATCACCTCTCAAGTTACCCACCCACTTGCTGTTCAGCGATGATGCATTTCCGCAGGAAGATCGAATTCATGGTGGTAGTAGTGTTCGTACTCTGCGGATGGTTTCTCTTTGACGCCCACTTGAATGGCATCCAAGGAGAATCCGGCGAGGCCAGCGTTGTTCAGGTGCCATGGCGACATGAGGGAACAGAAGCGGAAGAAGAGCAAAACATACTTGAGCACGAAATTGCGCATGGCGGCACGAAAGAGCAATCATCATCAACCTCCACCACCCCTCGACATACAATCACGCTGGCGCAAACTACTGCGATCGCGACACCTAGCCCTTCGCCCCCTGATCGCGTTGTAGTAATGGCAAAGGTTCCCACAGATGACACACGCTGGGTACATACTGACCTGCAAGACTGGCAGTCAGCTATTTACGACATCGATACCGAAACCCCGCACAACACATCGACCCTAGATCCGCTTACTAACAACACTCTACGTACCCTTAGGAACAAAGGAAATGAAGCAAATGCATACCTCGCATACATTGTGCAGAACTACAATAATCTCCCTTCAACGATTGCATTCATTCATCCGCATAAAGACGGCTACCCGGCCGCCTGGCACACCGACAACAACGAACATTCCAACGTAGTCTCGCTACAAACCCTCAACATAAACTTCGTCCAGAGCAACGGCTATGCGAATTTGCGTTGCGTGAACGATCCAGGCTGTCCGCACGAAGTGATGCCGTTTCGAGACCCGCCTGAGGATCATCGAACAACCGAAGCAGCGATGCCAGATGCGTGGCGAGACTTGTTTAACAATACGGATGTACCGCACGTACTAGCGACTCCTTGCTGTGCGCAGTTTGCCGTCTCAAGCAAGCAAGTGCAGAAGCGGCCGTTGGACGAATACAAAAAGTACTATACGTGGTTGATGGATACTCCGCTCAAGGACGAGACAAGTGGACGGATATTTGAGTATATTTGGCACATTTTGTTTGGGCAAGACCCCGTTTAGTAAGTACTCGACGCGTTAGAATGTGATGCGCGGCTGCTGACTTTGACAAGTTGTCCCACATACGAGAAGTGTTATTGCGATGTGTATAACAGATGTTGAAGATGTTCTGTCACTAGGATATAGAGTCTAGCAAGTACGAACAGATAATGAGTGTCCCTCTATGATCCGGGCGGGGGCGAAAATCTACACCGAGAACGCTAGCACTCTGTGACTTTAGCGATACCAGCGAACAGGAACCAAACAATGTTCTTGGCAACTGCGTAGCACTTGTACAAAGTCTATCAGAATCTATCTCCGTGCAAAATCATGTTTCTTTCCCCTCCAGCTGCCGCCGTGTGAGTCTGCGCGACCTCGAGTTAGCGTTGCGAAACGCAGCCAGCATGTTGAACAAGAAGATAGCGACGAATACGAAGCCAACCACACCAAGCAACGCGGCCAAGCTAACGATACTGCATACCACAAATGCATATAACGCTTGCTGAAACACATAATTATCTTCCAGCCCTGGCACGCTGGAGTCAACTTGCATCGCACTCAACACCCGATAAGTATCCACACTTGATTTCTGAAGAAGAACGCAACGGAACTATTGGGTCGATGAAAGTATCCGCGTACAAGGTGAGTTGTTAGGAAGCGATATCCATATATCATGTTGATCCGATCCCGTCGAAGGTCGCCATAATGATACCGCTTGTTGACTTGAGCCAGCGTGTTGATGTCCACATATCTGAGAAAGTCTTCGACAAACCCCCTGCACCATTCCCATGTGATAGGGATGTGGACCAACGCGAGACCTTGAGCTATTTTAAGGTCGATTGGTGTGGTCAGCAGGCATACATAAGACATAAGGAAGCCAGTAGCCGACTCATGCCACTCTTGGACATGGTCGATGTGCCGGTACCAGATCTCGCGGTCAGGGATCCACAGGGGTAGCGGTTTGAGCATCAAGTGAGTCCTGGTCTTGAGTAGATGCAAATCCATCTTCTGTGTGTAGAGGATGTCAAGACCGATCATTTTGTATCTGTGGAGAGGGCGCACGCGCCTCGGTCGACCAGCTAGCCCGAGGTAACCTTGAATACTATCCAAACGTGTCAAGTCTAGATCTTCTCTTAGAAAGCCGGAAATATCATTGATCGCAAAGAAGGCTGTATGGTCGCGGCGTGCTATCATCGGGAGCGAGTCTCGTAAGTGTGCATAGGAGGATATTGTGAAAATGGTGGCTCCAAGGACGTAGTCTCCTCGCTGTTTGGTGCGTGTGGTTCAAAGAGTGGCTGCGTACGCACAGGACTTGTTACTTGGGGCTTCAACCGCCCGATACAAGGGCTATTTCTACCCACCGGTGCAGTTTCTGTTGGAGATGACCGTCTGGCCTTGCGGTATATTACTGGGAAAGGAGTTAGATTAAATAAATGTCACCGTATTGCACACCACTCTGGAAGAGACTTACCACGTTCATCTGAAGGACCGCCTGACTAGCTGACCTCGGGTGTAAGCACTACAGGCATGATATGGGGCAACGCTGCCTCAATACTTGAACAATCATTTCTTTCTCCGCAAAACTTCCGTCACGAGCCGAGACCCAGATCTTGTATCCTTACAAAGCCCCGACAACATCCGATCCGGTTGTCTGTAGGGTCCTACAAAGAATAGCTTTGTCAAGCGAAGGTTGCTTGTACAGAGCGTTTCGTATGATAGTTGCCGGTGAACTCTGGGAAGAGTGACGCAATGCATCAGTCGTAAGAGGTTGTTCTGCAAATTCGTGCGCTTGGGTGGGCACAAATTGCCTGCTGCCTAGCTTCGACAAATCGGCGAGTAAATCAAACTGTGTTGTCATCTGAACCATACTGGCTTTCGAAGCTTCCTTGATCTCGCGAAAGACATCTTTGTCAGGTCGTATAAAAGCGTAACCCATTGAAATCGCGATCACATGGCCATATTGGACCCCACTGGAAGGATTCACAACCCAAAATCCGGAGTCGCCTTTCTTTAGACCTTGACACTAATTAGCTAGGTAGGCTGAGTTATACACAGTTGCTTACCAGTTCCATCCTCGAACGATAAAATCCATGTTGCACAAAGTCTCCGGATGGAAGGCGGGTAAACGCTTCGCTCGGTGACAGTCCTGCCTTGACTTGTCCAATTGCGCCAGCGAGTACTGTAACTGCCATTTCTGATGGTGTTTCAGCAACACTACTGATGCAGCTGCGCTCTGAAGGAGTGTTCCCAGCCCCAGTCTTGAGATCGTCTTCATTGGCAGTGAAATTGGGAAGCTGCATCCAGGCTTCCTGTATGCGAATGAGTGACCAATCCAGGCCAGGTTCTTCAAGTATGCCCATTGCTCTAGAAGATTCAGAGTTGACACCGACAGGGGATTGAGTACTGGTGAGACTTGACGACGACTTTCCATCATGAGAACTTGACTTTCCTGTCCCCCATTCTATCACCAACGCTGGCTCTACATCATCGTCGTAGTCATTCTCGTCAATAGTTATGTCGTCGGAAAGACAACTTGATGCGCTCGACGGCTCTGTGAAGGTACTGGAAACAATATGGCTCGTTGTAATCGCGTAGAGTCGGTCTGCGACTTTGATGAGTCCACCAATTGTGACTTTACGCTGATTGTTGTCATACTTGATAACGTTTGATGTGTCTTTAACGTTGTTGATGGAGTCTCGTAGACACAGCTGATGTTGAAGAGATCAAAGCAAATGCGGATGTGAGGGTGATATACAGATCGTACTTGAGACTTTTAGAATCTACGTATTAGCTATGCTGTAATAGAGGAAACGAAGCCAACGCAGCTTCTCATTGTCAATGGGTATGATTGTGATGTATATTGGTGTGTTGTTGCTATCTCAGCTACGGGTTTGTTTGAAGGAAATCACGCTAACTAATTTGGGAGCACTAGTGGCAGATCCAGAGAGAACGGTGCTAGGGAAGGTATACCTCAGCATCAACACTCATCGCTAAAAAGTGATCATCAATGGGAAGGTCTGAATCGCTGTATTTTTGAAACAACATATCATTAACCTACAGAGAACAGGCAATGGAAAAAGCCTTCGCCTTAGCACAGCGCAACTAAAGCATCGGAAGAAGAAGTAAAAGTGCAAACATGCTGGTGTTTTTGTGTGATGAAAGGTTTTGCGGTACACAAGTATAAACATTAGTTGAAGGCGCACGTTTGCCGCACAAATGTTCAGCTCTTACAAGAACTTGTTAGACAAGCTTCTGGACCTCGAGAAAGAGCTTCTGGGATTCTAGAATGAATTTGAAGGTGATTACTATAGAGATCTTAGCTAGAGCCTGTTGACCTAAAGAGGGTTAGTCTATTAAAATCCTATATAAATAACAGCTCTATAGATTCGCACATAAGAGGTGCTAAAGGTCTAAGCTGCTAACCTGTCTTAGGACATAATATATCTCCCCACTTAGGGACGCGCTTTATACTGACCGCGCCTTCATTGATCTTTTTCAAGTCAACACTTTTAACCAAATCTCATCCAACCTTGCATTTTGACAAATACAGCTTGTGAAGTCATATCATCAATGAATCCCCACTTATTTTTAGATAGGAGCAGCTTAATTCGACCTTCTCGCCTAAGTAACGAATGATAAGAGCCTCACCCATTCCTGTCAAAAGGACAAAAGGTCTTTACGATATGTGGGGAATAACCGAGAGAGATTTTCTCACGGCAACATTTAAGGAGAGTAAAGAAAGTCCGAGATCTGCGTGATCGTGCTCTTCGCCTTGCCTTCCGGAGCAACCCGACTCCTTCCTCGTTAGTGATGCTGCCGATAACGCTCGGTCCAACTGTGATAGTGTACTTTGAAGCTATCTGGACAAAGGTTATTACGTGTTCTTCAATGTGCAATTCCGATTAGCAGCTTCAATGGACCGAAGCCGTTTCTGGTCTGATATCCAAGTCCGAGCATTCATGAGTGTCCCGGACCATGAAACCCATTTTCGAAAATCGAAAAAAAAATTTGACCAAATCGAGCAACCAAATTGAGCGAAAGTCATGATGTATGCTTAAGTTAAATCATGTGTGAGTCTTGCGACTTGCATTGAAATGTCCGCTAGGCGATCTGAAAGCAGTGGGGGAATATCTGATCCTTGGAAACATGTCCTTGAATTAGTCTGTCGCATAATATAAAAGCGGCTTATGAAATCTCGTTCCCAGAATCCGGAAGAAGGGAACCATATCTTGGAATTGGGTCGGATCTCGCATGAAGTTCTGTTCCAATCAAGAAGAGGACTGTATATAAGATACTAAGTCCACGAGTAAAGTCAAAAGCTACCGAACAATGTACTCGCTTCATACAGTCCCCTTATGCACGACCTTGAACCCACCTGCACTTCACTGGGACCATCACTCTATAGGATGGTACGTTTCATCGTCTTGGTCAGACTATAACGCATTCAAGGGGGGCTCTTCTTCATCCAATGCATCGTTGGTTGTTGAAATCGAAGTCAGCAAGGCGAATGGAACTTTCTTCGACCGCACCAATGTCACAGTCGATCCAGGCGCTCTTCTTCGATTTCATCTGCCAAGTCAGAATTGCAGCTTAGTTCAAGCTTTTCAGTGATCTCTGTACAAACCAGTCCCAAGGGAACGTTGATCAGGATCTCCGGACGCTCGAGGCAAATCACGAGAACGGATCTGCAATCCTTGATTACCTCGTCGACACAGACTCACCGCAATGGATGTACCCTACTCATCTACTCTTAGAGACTCTCTGCGACATTGGACAGGTGTTCAGAATCAACCCCGGTAATGGCAGCGGGGTGGCAGTGAACAGTACGCTGAATCATACTACGTCTTTCGATCCTCCCATGTCTACGCAACACACACATGGAGCTTGCGAGGGTACTTCAGTGGCGGCTACGACTTCAGCGGGAAGTCTAGGCTACAGCACAGGCATTGCGACGAATGCTTCAGCATCAAGAACCCTGCAGCAGCCATTCGCAACATCTTTTGCGCCGGAATTGTCCAACAACGGGCGCAAGCTGATGGCACACTGTCGATTCATCGTGTTTGTCACCCTGTTCTTTGGTCACCTCTTGATAATGCTTGTTAATCAGTGAAGAAGAACTCGGATTATTGTCTCCAGTGTATGAAACCCAGGAAATCACTTTCATAGTCTCCAATAATCAATACAAAGTTGGAAACCGTTGCAGACGCTCCGTTTGCGGATGAAATCCAAGTACACTCTGATGTTGTCTAATGTCAATCCAAGCGAGCCGAGGCGCCCGGTGTAAAGGGACGGGCTGCATTTCGGAGCTTTGCCATTTCTTGTTCGCATTTGCATCAGTCTATGGTTAATGCAATAATGTTCTGCGGTCTCTTCTCCATCAGCGCACGACTCTCCGACAAGGGCTACGGCAACATTAACCTCGCTGTCGATCGTTTCGTCAGCGCCGTCGATACCCCCCTATTCATTCACCCCCTGACGGACGTATATGAAAATTGGAGGGTTTGGATAAGAGTGCGATCAAGGAAGGACATGTTCCTAAGCCTTGGAAGTTGTTTAGAGTCAGGAAGTATGCAGTCCGGCAGTTTTGCCGGTCGGGAACGAAGATCGCATGATGCGTTCCAGCCTGTCGGGATGCGCTAGCGCGCTTAGCGGGCAGGGCAGCCTGCAGTAGCGTGCTCAGATATCGCTATAAGTCATTGCAACGTCCCCTGCCCGTAAGCGAGAAATGCCCCTCAGCGAGATGGTTCCACCTTCCACGCACCTCAACCTTCCGCACACGCATCTACGGATCCGTAGTTGATGCGATCCTCTCCTTGAGCACTTTCCTTTCGCTTCCTGTATTGCCGCAAGAAAAATACAACAGTTGGGGTCATGCCGGCGATAACGTCGCGCGCAGCGCGACAGACCACTTTGACTTCCGATTCTGCTCTGTCGCCGCCATCCGCGCTGTTTCTAATACTGAGATGCTGGAACGATAGGCCTAGCCTAGACGCCGATCAGGTGTTGGAAGCGTGATCTCCGAGGCTAACATCCCTCACTGTGTGCCGAGAAGACTGCCGTGACGAGAAATACGACAGGTACTATGGTATCCGGCAAAAGTAGTGTACATGGCCAATGCACAGCAGGGGTGTTGCCTCGGGTAAGTGGAATGGCCCTACTGACCAAGGATACTGCAAATACTATCTAATTTGTATTGAACCAAGATATCTCCTGTCTACTGCTTCATCAACGTGTCATCTATCATCACCCTCATTATGTCACCGCCATCAACACCCCATCACCGGTATCTCTCACACAATGAGCGCCTGAAGGTTCAAACCTTGTCAGATGCTGGCCACAGCCAATCCTTTATTGTTAGCCACCTTGGTTTTACTTGACGACAAGTTGGCTATGCAATTGCCTGTAACCAAGTCACACCTAAGAAGAGATCAGGCCGGCCACCCAAGCTCACCCATGAGCAGGTTGATGAGCTGATCTGCTTTGTCTGTCAATCCCGAGCCACCCGACAGATGAGTTACCTGGCCCTTGCTAAGACCTTTGATCACTGGGGAGCAACAGAGTACTCAGTGCGTTACGCTCTACGCAGCAAAGGCTATACACGCTGTATAGCTCTTGCTAAGCCACCGCTTACTGAAGATAATAAGAAGATCCGCTTAGAGTGAGCTAAGCAGCATGTTGGCTGGACCTTAGAGCAGTGGTGGAGCATACTGTGGAGTGATGAGACCTGGGTAACTGGGGGCCGGCATAGGAGGAAGTGGGTAACAAGGTTACCTGGAGAGGAGCTTAATGACACCTGTATCGTTGATAAGGTGCG